ATGTGCAAGAGATGATGTGCAAATAGAGATACTGGGGTACAAATGAGCAAAATAAATAACAATATAGGGATGAGGTAGTTGGGCGGGCTAATTTCAGATGGGCTGTGTACAGGTGCAGTGATCGGTAAGGTGCACTGACAACTGATGCTTAAAGTTAGTGAGGGAGATAAGTGTCTCCAGCTTCAGAGATTTTTACAATTTGTTCCAGTCATTGGCAGCAGAGAACTGGAAGGAATTGCGGCCAAAGGAGGTGTTGGCTTTGGGGATGACCAGTGAGATATACCCGCTGGAGCGCAGACTACGGGTGGGTGTTGCTATGGTGACCAATGAGCTAAGATAAGGCGGGGATTTGCCTAGCAGTGATTTATAGGTGGCCTGGAGCCAGTGGGTTTGGCGACGAATATGTAGTGAGGACCAGCCAACAAGAGCGTACAGGTCACAGTGGTGGGTATTATATGGGGCTTTGGAGACAAAACGGATGGCACTGTGATAGACTACATCCAATTTGCTGAGTAGAGTGTTGGAGGCTATTTTGTAAATGACATCGCCGAAGTCAAGGATCGGTAGGATAGTCAGTTTTACGAGGGCATGTTTGGCAGCATGAGTGAAGGAGGCTTTGTTGCGAAATAGGAAACCGATTCTAGATTTAACTTTGGATTGGAGATTCTTAATGTGAGTCTGGAAGGAGAGTTTACAGTCTAACCAGACACCTAGATATTTGTAGTTGTCCACATACTCTAGGTCAGACCCGTCGAGAGTAGTGATTCTAGTCGGGTGGGCGGGTGCAAGCAGCGTTCGGTTGAAGAGCATGCATTTAGTTTTACTAGTGTTTAAGAGCAGTTGGAGGCTACTGAAGGAGTGTTGTATGGAATTGAAGCTCGTTTGGAGGTTTGTTAACACAGTGTCCAATGAAGGGCCAGATGTATACAAAATGGTGTCGTCTGCGTAGAGGTGGATCTGAGAGTCACCAGCAGCAAGAGCGACGTCATTGATATACACAGAGAAAAGAGTCGGCCCAAGAATTGAACCCTGTGGCACCCCCATAGAGACTGCCATAGGTCCAGACAACAGGCCCTCCGATTTGACACATTGAACTCTATCTGAGAAGTAGTTGGTGAACCAGGCAAGGCAGTCATTTGAGAAACCAAGGCTATTTAGTCTGCCAATAAGAATGCGGTGGTTGACAGAGTCGAAAGCCTTGGCCAGGTCAATGAAAACGGCTGCATAGTACTGTCTATTATCGATCGCGGTTATAATATCGTTTAGGACCTTGAGCGTGGCTGAAGTGCACCCATGACCAGCTCGGAAACCGGATTGCATAGCGGAGAAGGTACGGTGGGATTCGAAATGGTCGGTGATCTGTTTGTTGACTTTCAAAAACTTTTGAAGGGCAGGATGGATATGGGTCTGTAACAGTTTGGATCTAGAGTGTCACCCCATTTGAAGAGGGGGATGACCGCGGCAGCTTTCCAATCTCTGGGGATCTCAGACGTTACGAAAGAGAGGTTGAACAGGCTAGTAATAGGGGTTGCGACAATTTCGGCGGCTAATTTTAGAAAGAAAGGGTCCAGATTGTCTAGCCCAGATGATTTGTAGGGGTCCAGATTTTGCAGCTCTTTTAGAACATCAGCTGTCTGGATTTGTGTGAAGGAGAAGCGGGGGGGGGCATGGGCAAGTTGCAGCGGAGGGTGCAGAGCTGGTGGCCGGGGTAGTGGTAGCCAGGTGGAAAGCATGGCCAGCCGTAGCAAAATGCTTGTTGAAATTCTCAATTATTGTAGATTTATCGGTGGTGATAGTGTTTCCTAGCCTCAGTGCAGTGGGCAGCTGGGAGGAAGTGCTCTTATTCTCCATGGACTTTAGTGTCCCAAAACTTTTTGGAGTTAGTGCTACAGGATGCAAATTTCTGTTTGAAAAAGTTAGCCTTTGCTTTCCTAACTGCTTGTGTATATTGGTTCCTAACTTCCCTGAAAAGTTGCATATCGCGGGGGCTATTTGATGCTAATGCAGTACGCCACAGGATGTTTTTGTGCTGGTCAAGGGCAGTCAAGTCTGAGGAGAACCAGGGGCTATATCTGTTCTTAGTTCTGTATTTTTTGAATGGGGCATGTCTATTTAAGATTGAGAGGAAATTACTTTTAAAGAACAACCAGACATCCTCTACTGACGGAATGAGATCTATATCCATCCAGGATACCTGGGCCAGGTCAATTAGGAAGGCCTGCTCGCTAAAGTGTTTTTGGGAGCGTTTGACAGTGATGAGGGGTGGTCGTTTGACCGCGGACCCGTTACGGACGCAGGCAATAAGGCAGTGATCGCTGAGATCCTGGTTGAAGACAGCGGAGGTGTATTTAGAGGGTAAGTTAGTCAGGATGATATCTATGAGGGTACCCATGTTTATGGATTTAGGGTTGTACCTGGTAGGTTCGTTGATAATTTGTGTGAGATTGAGGGCATCTAGTTTAGATTGTAGGATGGCCGGGGTGTTAAGCATATCCCAATTTAGGTCACCAAGCAGTACGAACTCTGAGGATAGATGGGGGGCAATCAATTCACATATGGTGTCCAGGGCACAGCTGGGGGCTGAGGGGGGTCTGTAGCAAGCGGCAACAGTGAGAGATTTATTTCTGGAAAGGTGGATTTTTAGAAGTAGAAGCTCAAACTGTTTGGGCACAGACCTGGATAGTATGATAGAGCTCTGCAGGCTATCTCTACAGTAGATTGCAACTCCACCCCCTTTGGCAGTTCTATCTAGACGGAAAATGTTATAGTTGGGGATGGAAATTTCAGAATTTTTGGTGGCCTTCCTAAGCCAGGATTCAGACACTGCTAGAACATCAGGGTTGTCGGAGTGTGCTAATGCAGTGAATAACTCAAACTTAGGAAGGAGGCTTCTGATATTTATGTGCAGAAAACCAATACTTTTACGGTTACAGAAGTCAACAAATGATAGCTCCTGGGGAGTAGGAGTGATACTGGGGGCTGCAGGGCCTGGGTTAGCCTCTACATCACCAGAGGAACAGAGGAGGACTAGAATAAGGATACGACTAAAGGCTTTAAGAACTGGTTTTCTAGTGCGTTGGGTACATAGAATAAAGGGGGCAGTTCTCCGGGCGTTGTAGAAAAGATTCAGGGCATTATGTACAGAAAAGGATATGGAAGGATATGAGTACAGTTCAGGTAACCCTAAGCGTTGGGTAACAATGAAAGAGATAGCGTCATTGGAGGCACCGATTGAGCCGGTCTCGGCGTGTATGGGGGGTGGAACAAAGGAACTATATGAGGCAGTTTGAGAGGGACTAGGGGTTCTACAGTGAAATTGTATAATAAGAACTAACCCAAACAGCAATAGGCAAGGCATAATTGACATGGGAGAGAGGCATAAAGCAGTCACAGGTGTTATTAGAGAGAGCTAAGACAACAACTGGAAATAGCGATAACGTTTGGGCTAAGACTAAACAGAATAAACAGGACAGGGTACCGTGTAAAGGAACAGTCCAGCAGACATCAGCTGTGCAGCTGAGTGATCATAAGGTCCAGTGAACAGCAATATGTGAGTCCGAGAGCAGTTCAAATTGGTGCTTCAGCACAGCTAGCAGGGAGCACAGTTGTAGTTTGCGTGTGCTAGCGGGCCGGGGCTGGCAGATGGATCTTCGTGGTCGTCGCAACTGGAAGCCTGATGAAACCACATCAGACTATTACTTCTTTGTATTTAGTAATTTCTATTACACTGGGCTGATCTACACTCCAATGTATTTTGTAACAAGATACATTCTGAGAGCTGTAATTTGTATTTTCAAAATACAAAATACTTTTCTATACCATTTTTTATAGCTGCTCACCATTTTGTGGCCCCTTTCACCCTGCATTGGTATTAGAAGTCTGATGGCACTATGGTGTGATAAGAGTGTCTGCTAAATGAACTAAATATAAATGTACGTATATGTAAAAATTAACAATTGCAAAGCATGCTGAGTATTATTCAAATGAGCTCTTCCCCGAAATAGAGCCAATAATTACATTTACATTACATTTTACATTTTAGTCATTTAGCAGACGCTCGTATCCAGAGCGACTTACAGGAGCAATTAGGGTTAAGTGCCTTGCTCAAGGGCACATCGACCGATTTTTCACCTAGTCGAGTGTGTGTCAGCTGCCTGGCAACAGAGGGAGGAGAAATATAAGAGTGCAGTAAAAGAGTGCAGTAAATGGGTATGAGTCAGTGATGAGCTTTAATGAGGACCTCTCCCCCTCTCCTGTGGGTATTTAATGTTTTATAGTGTCCCAGCTATTTTCCCTCTGTCTCTAAGATTGCGGAGGTGTTGCATCTGAAATATACCCTTGGCCAAACAGCAGTGGAAAATTCACTGAAATTCCGCTGTGCAGAAATGCTTTTCACATGACCTGGAAGTACCACTCTCCAAGTGCAGCTAGCTCAAACCTGACCTCCAGCACACAGCAGGTGTGTAATACAGAGGTACTACCTTTTGTTTTCTCAAGCATCCCAGATCCTGCTGGGCTGAATATAACCTGCTAATTTATCACCTAGAGCTGAGGCAAGAGGTAATGCAATGTTCTGTCTGACACACCCACACAAAGAGTGATAGAAACACCAAAACACAGACAGACAGACAGACACACACAGAGCGAGAGAGAGAGAGAGGAGAGAGAGAGATGAGAGGAGGAGAGGAGAGAGGAGAGAGAGAGGAGATGAGAGAGAGAGAGAGAGAGGAGGAGAGAGAGACGAGGAGAGAGAGAGAGAGAGAGAGAGAGAGAGAGAGAGAGAGAGAGAGAGAGAGAGAGAGAGAGAGAGAGAGAGAGAGAGATGTATATAAGCCTCTTATTAAAGCCTGCAAAGACTTGGCTCTAGTCACTCAGATAGAAAATCCAGTCTTATTCACATGGGGAGGTGAGGCTTTATACTTAAGCTATTATGATAGCTCCATTGTAAATCACTAGCTGACTGATGGAAAAGAGACCATTCTTCCAAAATCATTCATTCATTAGAAACACACAGGCTCCACTTTTCTGCGTGTTTGTGTGTTTACCGTTATAAAAGCTGTTCCACTCACCCTCTCCGCTGACTGCGCTGTCCCGAAGAAGATCGGGATAAACGCCAGCCAGATTATGCAGGTAGTGTACATGGTAAATCCAATTGGCTTGGCCTCGTTGAAGGTCTCCGGCACTCCCCTGGTCTTGATGGCGTAAACAGTGCATGTGACCATCAGTAGGATGGAGTAGCCCAAGGAGCAGATCAGGGACAGGTCGGAGATGTCGCACTTCAGCACGCCACGAGCCGCCGCCGGGTCCTGGGTCCGCTGCTCGCCGTAGTCCACGAAGGTGTGCGGCGGGTCCACGGCGAACCACACAAACACCCCCAGGAGCTGCACCGAGATCAGGGAGAAGGTGATGACCAGCTGGGAGGCCGGGGAGATGAACCGGGGGGCGCTGACGGACTTCTTCCCCTGCTCGAAGATGCGGTGGATACGGTTGGTCTTGGTGAGGAGGGCCGCGTAGCTGAAGCACATCCCCAGACCCAGAAATATCCTCCGGAAGGAACACACGCCCACGTCGGGCGCCGCGATCATCAAGAAGGTGATGGCATAACACAGGAAAATGCCCGTCAACAGCACGTAGCTCATCTCGCGGCCGGACGCCCTGACGATGGGCGTTTCGTTGTAGCGGACAAAGGTGACGATAACGAAGGTGGTGGTGATGATGCCCAGCATTGAGATGAAGACGGGGATGACGGCCCAGGGCGAGTGCCACTCCAGCTTGATGATGGGGATGTTCTGGCAACCCGTTCGGTTGGCGTCTGGGCGCTGTTCGTAGGGACACAGTTCACAGCTGAACTCGCTGGCCTGGAAGTGGTAGCCCTCGCAGCGCTCGCAGTGCCAGCAGCACGGCACACCCTTCACGATCTTCTTCCTCTCACCCATCCGGCAGGGCACGCTACACACAGACGCAGGGAGGGACGGGTCGCCTGCCCGCCACTGCATGGCCTCTACCTGGGGTCATAAGGTCACAGGAGAGAGGAGAGAACCAATCAGAGGACAGATAGGTTGGGACTCAATAATGGTTTTGGTTCTAGAATGGTTGTTATTCTAGACTTTCTGGCTAAGGAATGTCTGACTAGAATAGTTCTGACTGTGTAATAGCCTTCTTCAAAGCCTACTGTCGTTAAAATGTTTGTACCTGCATAAACATTTCCCAAAGTGCAACTCACAAAGTAATTAGCCCAAGCAGAACTTCTTATCATGTCCCTTGTTTCGCCTGCTAGGCATAAATCTAATAGAAATTAAACTGGTGTAATCAGAGCTGGCACAGATTGGCCATCTGCATCAGTCTGATGCAGTGTGTGTGTAATAAACTGTTTATAACACAGCCCAGGGTGATGGGAACGGAGCTCCTCTCTCTATCTCTGAACACGCACACAAAGTACTGATCCAGCAGAACTAGAGGAAACTGGCTGGCTGGAGAAATCTAGAACTAGATTAAATTACCAATATTGGGTCAAACTACTCAGTCGTCAGAGGAGAAATGAAACCTGTCTGTATGTGTCGTTTCATTTTTGTATATTATTTCCCTTTAGTGCTATTATCTCTTCCAGTTTTTTTGTGGTAAAGCGATAGCCGGCCATGCTTGAATTATGAACGCTCAAAAACACATTAAGCCTGGCCATGAACTTTTTGGGGTATAATTGATAATTATAAAAAAAATACTTTAGGCCTCATTAAAGTTATCCCATAAAGCATTATGAACATGAAAGAAAAGCATGTCCAACGGCACAACTGATCCTAAGGGAAGAGATTTACCCCGAGAAGAAACAGTAACTTCCGCCACTTGGGTGAATCCTCTTTCAATTATTTGGATACTTATTTGTAACCTTGAATTCAAAACACTTGTTAAGGTGAAACAAAATGTATATGGAATAGGGCTATTCTGGCTCTAGTTCTCAGCAGCCAGCTGAGAGGGAATAGTATGCTGTTGCTACCTCCCAGTCCAGCCAAGGTAAACAGATCGAAGAACAAAGAGAATGCACAAGAGACATTCAGTCATGGAAGAAAAGATAAGTTCAATAGACATTGAAATTCAGCATTTGAGCCTAACTTCCATTTGTCTCCAAGTCTCCAGTCTCCAAGTCTCCAAGTCTCCAGTCTCCAAGTCTCCAGTCTCCAAGTCTCCAGTCTCCAAGTCTCCAGTCCAGTCAATATAGCTTCTACTGTCCAAACGTATTCGCTTATACCGGAAAGTTGCACGCACGACTAGAGCAGATGGTTTAAAGATCCCTCAGAGAGTACAGCCCAACCGTGCCCCACCCTGTCTGTTCTAGGAGTCTGTGTGAGAACACGCTGCTCGTTTACCAAGTCATAACTCCTCCTGTGGCCTGTGTGTTTGTGTGTGTGTGTATCCATCCCTCCCTCCAGTGTTCCAGTGTTTATGTGTGTGTGTGTGTGTGTGTGCGGACGTGCGTGTGCGGATGTTAACTATTCTTGTGGGGACCAGATGTCCCCACAAGAATAGTAAACGAACAAAAATGTGACCAACTGGGGACATTTTGTTGGTCCCCACAAGGTCAAATGCTATTTCTAGGGGGTGTAGGTTTAAGGTTAGAATTAGTGTTAGGGTTAGAATTAGGTTTAGGGTTAGGGTTAGGAGCTACGGTTAGTTTTAGGGTTAGGGTTAGGAGCTAGGGTTAAGGTTAGGTTTTTGGGTTAAGGTTAGGGTTAGGGTAAGAGTACGGGTTAGGGTTAGGTTTAGGGTTAGGGGTTAGGGAAAATAGGATTTTGAATGGGACTGAATTGTGTGTCCCCACAAGGTTAGCTGTACAAGACTGTGTGTGTGTGTATTCCAATCAGTAACAGCTGAAAAACAAGTAGCTGCTCATTGAAATTCAAGCGCTGAGCAGTAACTCTATGCGTTCAGGAACACATCAACTACTCTGACATACAGTATGGTCATAGGACAAAAACTGGGACAAGATGGGACCCAAACATGACACAAAAACAAGTTTTGGATGATAACGAATTAATAAAAATCTGAAGTTTCAAGACTTGATCTTGAATAAATGCTGATATCTATACAATTTGCCTGATCTCAGAGCTGTTTGTGCTATCATCAAACATGTTGACATTATGGCACAAACAGAGCAGGGACCCGGCTATGTATGAATGCCTCTGAATGTGACACTATACGACAACACTAGATCACAAAAGATAGTATTGCTATTATGTTAGTCTCACATTTAGGTGTAGTTTGTTGGTCCAGGTGCCTATGACCTTGTACTCTCTGGTGGAGCGGTTGGTGCTCTGGTACTGGAAGATGTCGTAGCGTCCGGGGGCGTCGCCGTTCTCATTAAACACCACTGGAGTACCGGCACTTCCTGGAAGGCAGAGAAAGTGAAGAATTAACAAGATGACACACTGTATATCATTCATCACACAGAAAGCTAATTTACCATTCTGTAAGATTGTACAATATCATTGTAGTTCTGCATTTTCACAGAAACACACGATTTAGTCAAACACAAAAAAAAAAAATTCTAACTTATATATACACCTTAACGATTATTACACATGCTTGGGTATTACCTACTGTATGTTGTAAGTATGGTTTAAGGTTGTTATTCTGTTTCTTACAAAGTGGGAATCTTTTTCAGAAGTTCATTCAGTAGTCTTGTGTCTACCTGTCACCCTAATGAGCCGGGCTCAGATTTCACACATATTAATTATGCAGAAAATGTGTGTATGTATGTGTGTGCGTCCATGCGTGTGTGTGTGTGTGTGCGTGTGTGAGTGCGTGCGTAAACAACCTCTACCTCCCCGGGTGCAAAGTGTTTCACAGATAGGCTTTCTTTCTCCATCGATTATGCTAAACTCACAGCCCCCTCATCCATTCTCTCTCTCTTCCTCTCCCTCCCTCTCACCCTCCCTCTCTCTCTCTGGTTCTTTCTCCTCTTATGAAGCGTTGAAATCCAATTTTTCAGCGTGGCAGCAGCGCGGGTTGAGAATCTGGCCATCAAAGCAGTAATGTAATTACAAACATACATCTTAAAAGAGCTGTTCATTACTGACATTCCTACAGAAAGCTGTTCATCATGGCAACGGTGAATGTATCATATCTGATAGAACGAAAGGGAGAGTTGCCAGGAGAGACAGAGTGAGAAAGGGAGTGAGAGAGATACTAGGAGAATAAGAGAGAAATGGAAAGTTCTCTCTCTCTCTATTTCACTCTCTCTCTCTGTGCATGGCCAGTGGTAATGAATAAGAAGAATTCCAGAGAACTCTGGGTAAACCATTATCCGTCTATCTTTAATCTGCCTTCACACAGCCGCCCGGCCCGACGCTACTCACACACACAGACACACACACGGACACAAACACATACACACAGCCCCGCCCACCAAAATTCAAAGACACTAGACGCCGCCACTCGCCGCTTGCTCCTGTCTGCCTATCTGTTTGTCTGTCTCCTCCTGCCTTCCATAATTACAACAGAGAGAGAAGTGTCCAGACTGCTTGTTGACTCATTTGTCTAATTTTAGTATTTGGCTAGTAGTGCAACACAGCTCCCTATATATCAGGACTACACAGGGCGTCATTGGGCTTTGGTCCAAAGTAGTGCATTACATAGGGAATAAGGTGCTATGTGAGATGCTGCCGCAGTAACACACACACACAAACACAAACACACACACACAAACACGTGAGTCCACTAAGATAGCCCTCTGGTTGATGCTACAGAGAAGCAGAACACTGATAATATCATACTATCAGTGAGTGGGAACAACTTCTTCTCCGTGCATCCCTTGCTTAGCACAACAGCGGGGGAACATGCATTGCAAATGGGAGAGGACTCCATCTCATCAGTGTGGAAATGAATCATGGCACAGCCTCAGGAAGTATTTCTGCCTTTCAAATTGGTGTTAATATACGGCCCAATACTGCTCACTGTTCCCTGCCCAACCAATGAGGCCGATTATGCAGACACGACTGATGCAAGTTGCACATGCACACATACACAAATATACGCACACACACACTTAAACGCACGCAAACACGCACAGATACACACAAACACATCTTCATACTCACGTCCTCTCTGGAAACAGCCTGTCCCAAACCATATTAGCTACTCTGATGACGATTACTGGATACAACCAAGCTGACTAATATAATTGTTCAGTATGTGCCTTATAAGGGCAATTTGACCACAGCAGTACAAGTCAGTGAAGCATGGTTCCTCAGCCATTTCTGAAAGTAGTAACATGGAGATATCGACATTTAAATGTCACACTATTCTGCATCGTTAACCATGACCTTCACTGTGTCAGTGTAAGCAACAACATTTAACCTTCTTTCCCACAACATACACACACACACACGACAAACCTCAAACTCACCCCTCAGTGGGTAGCCCTAACAACCATTCAACACACCAAAGTCCTTTCATCGACCTCACCCTCATTGGTCTTTATAGTACATCTCACATGACCAGACACATGTACCCTATCACCACCTCCCCCAAGGAGAATGGGGTTAGAGGCCCTTTAATCAACACACAGGTCTTCAGCTAGGTCCCAGCTATGTAACTGGATAAGTAAGAGCAGGCTGAGGTATACCTTTCACCCAGCAGACCCAAACAGTCCAAAACCGCCAACTGATCTGTCTAGTGGTGGGCTATGGTGAGATGAGACCAAGGCTCAGAGCTGAAGTAGGGAGTAGGGAATTTCAGATTGAAGACATTCAGACATTAGGGCTTATGTTTGGTCTGAGATGAGCTTGGCTTTCTGCTGTGTAGTTTGTGGGTAGAGAGAATGGATTCTAGGTAAGTTATACTCCTACTAAAAGGCAGGGATACAAATCCCTGAAGATACAGTTGCAAGGCATAGGTCTAGGATCAGCTTACTCTCTTCTAATCCTAACCTAAACCATTAAGGGGAGAAAGTCGAAACTGACCTAAGATCAGTATCTGGAGGCAACATCCTCCTAATCTGAGATAAACACTAAATACCCTGCCAACAGCTCTTCCCTGTGGATCTCAGAGAGAGAGAGAGAGAGAGAGAGAGAGAGAGAGAGAGAGAGAGAGAGAGAGAGAGAGAGAGAGAGAGAGAGAGAGAGAGAGCGAGAGAGAGAGAGAGAGAGAGAGAGAGAGAGAGAGATTTAGGCTGGGTAAAATCTCTGATGGGGGAGAATACAGGAAAGGAGAGAGGGACCGGCTGAACGAGCGTTGCAGGCTTCAAAGGTCTCCCCACTCCCCATCGTGACAGAAACAGAGAAGAGTGAGTGTTTTGATAGGCCTGATGCAGAAACCACCCTGCAACCCAGATTAATAAAACATAACATAGAGGAAGGAGCTGAGAGGAGGAGCGAGAGTGACTGAGTGGCGTGGCTGCCAGCAGTGTGAGCCATACATCTATACTCCTAATGGGGGAGACAACACACACACATGCACGTACGCAAAGAAGCATGCACATAGTCACACACACGCAGGAACGCACACACACAAACACACAAATACATTAATGCACTTACACGCACACACAGGCCCCCAGTAATGAGGACACATCTTCTCTCCGTCCTTCTCTTTATTTTTCCTCCATCCCTCTATCCCTCCATCCCTCTATCCCTCCATCCCTCTATCCCTCCATCCCTCTATCCCACACTAAACGGTTACCTCAGGGGAGGCTTTACTATAATAACTAAACTCCCTCCTCCTCCTAAACATTTACTGTTGATCCTCCCTTTTTCTCCTCCCCCACTCTCTCTTGTTCTTTATCTCTCTTTTATCTCCTCTCTTTCTCTTGTCTTCATATGTATCTCTTCTTTATCTCCCTCGCTCCCACCCATCCTTGCTCCCACCCCCCTCTTCTCTCCTATAAGACATATGCATTAGCCTATTAATTCACTTGATTGTGATCCATTACTTACATGCTTCTGGCATATAGAAGCCTTTCTTCGCTGTACCCTAACCCTCCATCCACCCTGCAGTAATCATGTGGGTAGCAGTTCCATACAGTTAATCTGGTGAGGGATAACATCCACAGGGTTTATAATGAGATTAGTGCTTCTTGGCTCAACAAGGCAGCTGATTATAATGATTATTAAACTGCCAGAAACCCGTGACACATAGTTTATCAGGATGTGGAAGCAGGAGCCAGAGCCAGCCTTTTGTTGTGTTTCACAGTGGAAGGGAGCACAGAGGCTGTGTAGCCATTAGTAATGTGCCATTGGAGCTTAGAGGTGGGCGGGTGAGTTGGCTAATGAAATAATGGATATAATGAAGATATGTTATTTTTCTACTCTAAACTCGACGGCAAGAGTCCTCAAGCAACCTAAGATGTTTGGCCTCATGATCTCGGAATGCTTTAGATACTTTAGATTTGTCAGTTGGTCTGAGATTTGATTTGATCATTCGCCCTTCTTTTTAAAAAATTTCCTAGTTGGTCATTAGCAGTTCTTGCCTGCCTCGGGCAAGTTTCAAAACCATCCAAACCTTTAACACCCTCCTTTCTACTGCATCTCTAAGCCCTACTATCAGTAGGCCAAGGGAAGACATTTCATCACAGAGTTATGATACACTGTAGCTGATGGGAAGAAAACACATTTTTTGGAGGGGGTCCAAATTAAGTGGCCCTCAGTCTGAACTTGACAAAACCCTCCCGTTCCTGTTGACTTCTCCTCTTCCTCTCTTTCCTCTAAAGAGAATCTCTTTTGATTATCTTCCCCAGAACAGAGCAGAGCGAGTGAGGGAGGGAGGGAGGTAGAAAAAGGGGGGAGAGAGAGAGAGGGAGAGAGAGAGAGGGTGAGAGAGAGAGAGGGAGAGGGAGAGGGAGAGAGAGAGAAGGAGGGAGAGCGAGCGAGAACGAGAGAGAGAAAAAGAAAGAGGGGCAGGGAGGGAGGGAGGGAGGGAGGGAGAAAAAGGGGGGAGAGAGAGAGAGAGAGGGAGAGGGTGAGAGAGAGAGGGAGAGGGAGAGAGCGAGAAGGATGGAGGGAGTAGGTTGTCCTAGAGCAGTATTGTTAGTGTGCATAATGAAAGAGAGAAGGCATCAGCGCGTATCCAGGAGGCTAGAGACCAGCTGCCATAGCAGATATACCTCCTCTGTTCACTGACTTTAGCAGACACACATGCACACACATACACACGACAAAACTCTCATAGGCTGATGAGGCAATGCCGCATTTCTCAAGAAACCGACACGGCAGACAGACAAACTCCCTCCAAAACTCCTTTGTCTCCACTAAGGCTTAATGGACATGCTGATTTCATTACGGTGTGACTGTGGCAGAGGAGAGAGAGAGAGAGAAAGATCTCTGCAGGTCCATAAACCTGGTGTTGTCAGTTATGTCTAATGCCAGCATTATATCCTACATTAGAGTGAATAAAATGATGCATGTACAATCACCGCCGCCTCCGGCTTAAAGTTCTATTAATCCTCCAATGGCTATCTGATAGCTTCTGGTCATCTGGGCTGAGGAAGTGTTCAGTGTGTGGCGGCCCGGCAGGCAAGCGGCAGACTGAGAGCAATGTCTTAAGTCGCCGAAACAGCTGTCTGAGATTTCTGGCTTATTGAACTTATCTCCAGGTATCGATTGCTCTTTTAACGTCGTGAGTGGGGACAGCGGTAGGCTACGCACGCACACACACAGACACACAGGCAGACAGAGGTACAGGGGGATCTTTTGTGCAAAGCACAGAGAAGGAATAGGAGACTGGAGATGCATGTCAGAACATGGAAAGACTTTAGTACACTCTCTCTCTCTCTCTCTCTCTCTCTCAGAAATGATGTCTTCATGGCTCTGAACTAAACACACTCTGCTCGGTTATCCTGCAGAAAATTAACATAATAACACTGAGATCAGAGGTGATGTGAAGCTCATTCTAGCTTATATATGAATACGATTGAGATTTTATTTGACTTGACCTACAGGTCATAACAACCTTACACACATCACTGTATATATCTCTTCTTACTCTCTCCATCCTCCTCTCTCCCTCTCTCTTCCCTCTAACTATCATCTAGTCGTTATTCCTTGCTAATTAGCCCGGGCTGGTTCCCGTAGAGAAGGCGTCCATCTTGTCCTGAGCAGTCAGAGCTAGAGCAGCTAGTCCTGTGGAGATGGGCTGTAATGAGATAGCTCTGTCTAGCATGGCCGTGTCCTCTCCTCACAGCTGTCCACACACACACATACTGACTCCACGGTTCCACGGCTCAGGGCCTAATTATTTTGGCTCCGCTGCCCTCTCCATAGAAGGGTAATGGAGAGCCTCGTGGAGGGTGGCCCCGACCAAGACCACAATATGGTCGAAATATAGGAGCTGGCACTAGCTCAATAAATAACTTTTTGGTAGAGTAGGAAAAAGTGGATATTGTTCTCTTTCTCTGCCCGAGTTCTTTGTCCAGCGTCCTGTGCTTTGTGGATGAGGATAAAATACTGTTATACAGGATGCTAAGATTGAGACACACTACACTGTGAATTTTCATTTCCAGCGAACATAGCACTACTATGAGGGTTAGTAGATGGATCAATACAGTCAATATCCTCATCAGTGTTCTAAACTAGAAGTGCGAAGCAGTCCTTTGTGTACGTTTTTTTGTCTCTTCGCTAAACCGGTGTATTCTCACTCCACACTGTCAGGGACAGGGTAGTTAATAAAGGATCTTAACAACACATTAATGCCATTCAACCACACTCTACAGACATAGCTAGGAACAATAGATATGATATTGGCTTGATGTTCAACACTGAACACGGATGAAAGCTCTCTGCTTGTATCACTATGACTCATTTGACAGATAACACTGAAGTGCATAGGAGAAAAGAGGAGGAAAAAACCACACTTCCATCTCTCCAACTGCCCATTGGAGATTTCTGGGAGATTTCCTGAAAAGTTCCATTGTCTAAAAATGTAATATTTTCTAAAAGTTTTTTGCAGTTTTAGTTGAATGTATTTCCTCAAAGTTTTACCCCAGTGTGAAAGTGAAAGTACAGGCTGTAAGGCATTTTTATTCCTTCCTTCCCACGCACAGAACTACAATTAAGGTTTCTCATAGACTGAAAAGGAGGGGACCTTGGACATATTTTCAGGAATAAAAGGTAAGAGATGAACATTAATGGACTTTATCAAGCTATTCATTAGACCGCCGGAGGATTCATAGAGGACAATGGAGGTGACCTGGGTAGTGGGAGGCATTATGTATCATGTAACACCACTGGGCTCTATTTTAACAAACCTAACGCAATGGTAAATCTAATCGCAGGTTGTAGCGCTATAGGTTCAGGGGTGTGTCAGAAATATTTTTGCTATTTTCACTATCACAATTATTGGCACACTTGCTGGCGTTGGCGCACAAGGACTGGTTTTTTATGAGTAAACAAGTTGTGGGTGTGTGGAGGCTTGGCCCCTAACTGGCCAATCAGAACGTGCTCCATGGCAAAATATGTCGTTGTTTCAAGTTGTGTTTTTACAGTCTTTTATGTATTGCCTTGGAATCAATTCCAATTCCAATGTTAGTCCGTTATAGTTTATTAAATGGATTACAGAAACGAAATAAAATGTAGACCTATCTTGGCTAAATACATTAACTTGAACCCATTTACAGTCCACACTGTTCTAATTGCATGGCTTCAGTAGCATTTACACTGATATAGGGGCTAGGCCTAATGTAAATTGCATTATGGCTGAGCATGGACATGCCAAACATTGTCAATAAGCAAGATTACATTCATTATTGATAAGGTCTAAACAGAGAACTAATAATTCTAAATCACATTAAACAACAACATGTTTTAAATAGTCAAATTTACAGACACCATAATTTCTCCCCATGGGCATATAATATTAAAATGACGCAGATTATGGAGGGTTTTACGCACATCCAAACTTTTGACAGTAGCTGGACAAAGATTCAATAAATAGAAAGTTAGAATGTCTACTCACCGTTAACTCTCCCAAATAGGCCAATGTTTTATGAACATAATCGGAACCATTTCACAGAGCAGATCGCATTCACACATCAGAAGTTGCATTGCAAACGCGCCACGGACGTTGTCGGCATAAAACCAGGAAGGTGAATAATTATAATACGTTTGGTTGTAATACAATTTTACGGAAAACAATCAATCCATTTTTTTTTCTAACAACAAAAACAAGAAATACATGTAAATGTAATGATATCATAAAATCGGCAGGATAAAAGACACACATCGCTGTTGAACCAGCCTTCGTTATAGTAGGCCTAAGGGAGGGCTTGGGTTTTGAACCTATAAAACGGAAAACAAGCCATTTTTACAGGAGAGATAACTTCTAAATACGAGGTTCACCGGTATTCACAGAGGTTCTCATCTCTCGTTTCATGATGGATATGGATACGTAGCCTACACCATGGAGGGGGTTTTACACACGTCCAAAACGGGACTTGTACGGCTAAAATAATGTGGGCCTGCCTACAATGCATAGATAAAAAGGGAATGTCAGCTCACTGTTTTACTCCTCTCAAACTTGCTATTTTAATAAAGCTTTGGTGATTAAGATTCATTTCCAAGCGGTCTCAGGAGCCAAACCCTTTATTGACTACTTCATGATTACATATGGGCAGACAAAAAAAAGCCTTCATTGAGAGGAGGGGAGGCATGGTTTTTAATCAAATAAATCTAAATGGGAAAAAACATACTTTTTTGGTTTCTAAATACTAAATAAGTATTCAGGCACCAAAAGCACATTAGGCTACTCTTGCTCAATGTGCATATGGGCAGTGTGCGTCATAGCTGGATAGACTGCGTTTCTGCTGTCTAAATTCATGCCATAACCAACTGCGTTACTGTTAAAAACAGCTTTTGGTTGGTCTTAAATATCCCTGTCAGCGCTGTCTGAAATTAGCACTTTGGATCATGTTTTTAAGGACACACCTAAAATATTTCCACCTCGCCCATTTGAGAGCAAGCTAGCTGATATAAGACATGTAAATTGCCGAACCTGGCGTTGGGGCTGGAAAATGCCAGTGTGGCAGTTTTAATATGAGGTGCATTTAAGTGCATTTAACACTCGCGCCGTGGTAACGCCAGCCGAAAATAGAGCCCTATGTGTCACTCTGTGTTGGCACGTTGGTTGCATTGGACGTGTGTAATGTCCCTGTCCAGGAGCAGACCTGGGACATGTGTGGCTTCCTGTAACACACTCTGGAGGCAGCTTATAAAGTGGACTACTGGGATGCATCCCAAATTGAACCCTATTCCCTATAGTGCACTACTTTTGACAAGGGCCTGTACGGAAACTATATAGGGAATATTGTGCCATTTGGGACGTAGACCTAGATTATCATATTCATCAGAGCAGAAGTGGTGGGACACACTGGTCCTCAAAAGCTGCAGGGTTGCCGATGTGCATTATTTCCTTCATATGAGAGACTGATTAAGACATAAAGATGTCTTTTGATATCTGTCCTACAAAGTGTACAAAGACTTGTTGTGGCTATTTTTCTACATTTACTTCAGCTGCTCATTGAAAACGGAGTCACAATAGCCCAACAGCAACTGAAATGAGATTTCCTCTGCCAATAACAGTCCCTAAATGCGTTACTTTACAGAGTGTTGTCACAATGACTTACAGTACTAGAGGGGATGTTGTTGGTAGGCAACAACAGAACAGGACATTCTAGATAAAAGAACTAGATGAGTTGAGATGATGAAAGAGACAGTAGTCTGTTTGATATCTTGCTTGCATTCTGAGTCAATCCATCCATGGTGATGACTGATGATGGACCAGGATGAAAAGGAGAGAGAAACAGAAAAGAGCAACAAAAACAGGGAAAACATCATCAACATTGAGCCAAATCTGAAGTGTCATGTTTTTGGTCAAAGAAAATAGGATCTGCAGCATGCCTATGCGTATGAATAAAACTATGCAAACTCATCTAGTGGCCTCTAGACAGAATCAAGTGACAACACAACGTCTGAAGTGGGCTGCTTAATAAGTCAGTGCTCGACATGAGACAAAAGATGCGTCCTAAATGACACCCTATTCCCTATGTAGTGCACTACTTTATAGGGAATGCACTATATAGGGAATAGGGTGCCATTCGGGGCACAACCAGAATGTCCTTTAGATCACTGTGGAGACAATAGAGGGTGTGGAGACTCAAGCTGAACAGAACAGAAGAAGAGGTATCAGATGCAGTCTGCACGGTGTAGCGTGTGATTGCTGCTACAGGCACTGTTCCTTATTGTCTTTCTTCCCCTGGATCTGCAATGCACCACCATCTGCGTGTGTGTATGAGAGGGAAAACAAGAGAGATATGGAGGGAGAGGGGAGAAGTGGAGAGATGGAGGGAGGGAGAGACAGATGGAGAGAGAGAAGTAGGGGAGAAAAGGAGAGTGAAAAGAGAGATAATGAGAAGATAAAGGAGAGAGGGAGTGGGAAAGAGAGACGGAGGGGAGGGGAGGGAGGGAGGGAGGGATAGAGCTAGGAAGTGTGTGAGCAGGAAGGTGCTCTCTCCATCAGCATGAGTTTCTGTCACAGTCAGAGAGCACATCGATAACACCTGAACACTGTAGGGATATACACACACACACACATACACACACACACACACTTGGGGTCAATGGAGGGGTCATCCAAGTGTCCAATCTCATGCTGCTGAGAAAGGTTAGATCTGGCAGGGTTCCGTGGGGAAAGATCGTTAATAAGTGCACCGGCCAGTGTGTGTGTGTGTGTGTGCGTGTGTGCATGTGTGTGTGTGTCTGCATGAGATATCTCCACACCTGGTGTGTGTTTTCCCTAGATCGTTCTGAAACCTCACTACTGAATTAGGCTCTTCCTCTCTGTCAAGACAAAAGGCGCTGGATTGATTTTCCGCCTGTGTCGGTAAGCAGGGGGATCGGGCCTATCAGCTCAGCACAGCTCCTCTAAGTTGCATTTGATTGGTATGGATCCCTGGCCCCTGCTGCAGCCATGTCAAGGGCACTGTGGATGGTCCGTCTCAATAGAAGTGTGCTCTATTGACATACACTGACTTAAACTCTCTCGTCTTGCCGTCTCTCGCTCGCTAGCTCGCTCACGAACGCACACACACACACACACATACAGTCTGTAACTTTATCCAATAACAGCCCTAACCTTGCTATGCCAGACATGATGTACTATAAGAGCCTGTAGCTGAAGAACACAAAACAACATAAGTCTACAACATCATCAACATCAGTCCCCAGCAGAAAACACATTCACTCCTCTGGCGTTATTATTATTAACCTCCTGTTGAACTCCAGAGGGGCAGAAATCGATACCAACACAACATGTTGCTTCTCCGTGTAGTCAGCTTGAAAACAAACACGTCAAGTATTCCCAGGCCTGTTGAAGACTAGATACTAGATGTAAACAACATCAACAGCCCTACGGCAATTTATCTTGTGCCTCTCGGCATTGAAAAACCAGCAGCATTCAATAGACAGAAGATTTACTGATCTCTAGTAAGTAGTCTGGTAAAGTGCCGTTTGTCAGGCCTGCTCTCTGCTCCATGCCCTTCTACATTCATCTCAATCAAGTGGGCAGTGACATTTTGCTCTATTAAGGGAGGTTACTGTCTTAAATGGTGGTGAAGTACTATGTGACCTGTGTCTTTAGTATTCAACAGGGCTAGAATGGCCATAGTAGGACTTGAACCTGCAATCTTGTGTTTATCAGCCCAATACCTTTGCTATCACTGCCAAGAGGTCCAAACCCTCGCCGATAAGTTGCAGGTGCTGTACTAGCTATGGATGCTACAGTATTTACAATGCCATGTGAATTTTGCTTAAGCCACTGGAGTGTAAAGTGTTGTTCAGTGTTTGTGAGTGGACGACACCGCCACTGTATGAATACATTTATTACCTAATGCTCTTACAGTCTTTAAAACTGCCTCGTGGGCTAATTATTCATTTTAGAGAGGAATTCTCATGCAGTAATTCTAATACAGGCAAGACTCGCTGATCGATCAACACAACTGATGCAAATCACAGGAGTTGAATGGAACATAACAAATGAATATGCAGCGAGATAAATAAATATAGCCATAACAAAAAGAAGCAGAAAGTACATATTCAAATGAACTGTCTAATGTTATTTAGAGCTATATCAATTGTTTTTGCCCATTTATGCTCTTCGGAGGCCGAGAGGGACAAAACAGTCAAATAAGCACAACACTCATGAAAACAAGTTTAAAGCATTACTGAGTCTCAAGTCAAGCTCCAAGTTAATCACCATCTGCAGCAAGCACAAAGCGTTGTAAACTATGTTAGGAGAAGTGGATGGATATTCCATGGCACCACTAGTTAAAAAGCTGAACTACATAACATATAGAATATTATGTATACAAAATAATGTACAGAATAGATTCATGGAGTATGGCCATTAGCAGGTGAAGGAAGCAGGATAAGTTAGGATAATTAGTTGAGAAATATGAAGAGAGCAGTAGTATTAGTATTAGTAGTATTATCCCTTTCACTGAGAGCCAGTAAAGGGAACTATCACTGAGAGGGAATAGCATGTGTAACCCTACGCACTCTGTGGGAGGACTGCTCTCAGAGAGGATGGATCATGGCTCATGGAGGACACTAGGGGGAAACAAGATGGGGCAAAACGTAAATCATTTCACTAACTACCTCATGAACTACAGTAACCCTGTAATCAAAGCTTAATGAATGTTCAAGATGTCCTCTGATTGGAGGGGGAGAAAGAAAAAGGAGTCATGGATAGGGTGGGTATGATGAGGGAGTGGTGTGTGACTCGAAGTTGAAGTTGATGTTGTGTATGTGGCTGAGCAGTGTGTGTGTGTGTGTGTGTGTGTGTGTGTGTGTGTGTGTGTGTGTGTGAGTGTGAGTGTGCGTGTGTGTGCGTCCGTGCTCCACTCACCATTAAAGTTGACAGCTCTGATATGGCTGAGTAGTTCCTTGCCGTCGATGTTGGTCATCTTTGGGCACAGGCCTGGGTATCCATAGCAGAGTTCCCTGTGCATCCGGTGTAGGGCATGGGCCATAGCATACACAGCATCCATCACAAACTGCACCTTCCCCTCCTGCTCGTAGCTCGAGTCCCGACCAACCTTCTCCAGACCTGGGAGAGTGGAGAGAGACAGACGGACAGTCAGCTACACTATGGAGGGAAACATCCAACTGTCTATTTGGCAAAGATGCAAAATGTATAACATTACATTATAATGGCATTTTCGTGAAAAAAACACTGACCTTGGTCCCACTGCTTTCACACAAACACAAACATCTGTCTGTACTGGGCATGTTGTTTTATTCAGTTGAGCACACACACAGTGACACACACAAACTGACACGCACACACACACGCACACACACACTGACACACGCGAGCACACGTGCACGCTCACTTTCTTTATAATGCAGTTGAATGTGTGCTTATGTAACTGATAGCATCATTAGCATAATTAGCTAATAAAGAGGCGAAAGCACAAACTCCTTCATGCATAAACATGAACATCTCTAATTGATTATGATGCCTTTCTACCATTTTCATCAAAGTTATTAAAGTGGAACTGCAACAGAAAATGGAAAAAGGGTTGATTTTCAGAAGCAACTAATTTGTATTGAATTCTTTCAGCTTTTAACTCAGCTTTTACTCAGTACAAGCCTTCGGGGGGGAAAAAAACAAAAAAATTGTAAATAAAAAACATGCCCGGGCTAGGTGAATTAACAAAAGTCTTCAATCAATAAGCGTGTCTGAGTGGAATACATAGGCTCAGGAGAAGGAAATCCAATTCAGTTTTATAGAAGCTTCCACACAGCAGGAAAGTCTCACGTGAAGGTGATGCATTAGTAGGAGCAGGACGGAGACACACACAGACACACACACACACACCTGGTTATTCCCTGTGAAGGATACGGTGCGAGCTACAATAACAGGGGATGGGGGCTGACTTCACAAGACACCAATAATTAAAAGCCACTCCAATCGACAGGACTCAAATCAGAAGTACTGCTGCCCACATGGTCCAGAGCCATCCACTCCTTCACTAGGTAATCCCACCAGGTATAGGCACTGACTAATGAAGGACTGACTCAGCTTATCCCAATTAGGCACTGTGAGCTTATCCTATCGAAGAGAGCTCCCAGTGCCTTGAGCTTATAACATGAATAAAGAAGCAGTCCTCTGACATAACCCAGGCCAGTGAACAAACACTTGGGACAGGCGCTGAGCCATCAGACTCAATCTGAATCCCACCCTGGCTTTGACTTGACACACTGGAGAGATAGGTACTGTATCACTACTAAGCCTCAGACACACAGCATAAACCCTACAGTCACACACACACACACACACACACACACACAGCAGGCTTATGGTCCAGCCAACCATATAATCACCCTGTTGAGCTCCTCATAAAGAAAATGGCATCCATCTCAACTCAGTCCCCAGATAAGACTACATAGGGTGCATCCTATTCCCTATATAGTGTACCCATAGGGCTCTGGTCAAAAGTAGTGCACTATATAGGGAATAGGGTGACATTTCAGACGCAGGCATGGAGGACTAGATACCTTCTGCATTCCCTCTACTGGCTGACAGAGGAGGGTTGGTGCAGCTACTGTCATTACAGAAAACAATGCTGTTATATTTCCTTCAATTGCATCATTACAGTTTATTCCCTCCCTAGCTGACTGGCTGACAGGGTGAGGTGCAGCAGTTGTCATGTTTATGCTCTGTCTGTCCCTGTCTGGCCCTGTCTGGCCCTGTCTGAACCAGCCATGTGACACACAGGAGATCCAACCCTGTCATACACACGTATGCATGCATGCATGCACACACGTACATACACACACATTCACACACTCTCTCTCTATCTCTCGCACACACTGCAGCCATCCCCTTCCCCATCACAATCACTGTCAGCTCAGACGATGGCAGCCTCAGCCCTGCTAAATAAAATTTGCCCGTTCTGCTTTGCTTTAATAATCTGGGATAACACAGGCGGAAGGCAGGGAGAATTTGCATGGCTGTAGAGGCAGATATTTGTTCTCTTACACACATGCACACACACACACAAAGAAACGTGCACACAGTCACGCACACACACTGTCACGCCCTGGCTCTGGGACTCTGTTATGTTGAGCCAGGGTGTGTTGTTTCTATGTGTTTTGTGTTCTAGGTTTATTATCTAGCTCTTGTGTTTCTGTGTTGGCCGGGGTGGTTCTCAATCAGAGGCAACGAGTATCAGCTGTTGCTTGTTGTCTCTGATTGGGACCATACTTAGGCAGCCTGTTTGCCACAGTGTTTTGTGGGATCTTGTTCCGTGTTGGTTTTGTATTGTAACCAAGGACTTCACGTTATCGTTTTGTTTCGTGTGGAATAAAATAAGTATGTTCACTCATCACGCTGCGCATTGGTCCACTGTGTTCGACGATCGTGACACACACTTAAACAGCATGCTAGCAGTTACCATAGACTTCTAGTCATTGTGCTAACGCTACTTCCTTCAAACTGCATGCAGAGACATAAAAATTGTATCCACAAGTTTATCTGACTCTGGGGAAGTAGATAAATGGCTTCATTGTCAAAATCCTGAAGTATCCCTTTAACTCTGCAAACCTGCGGCTATCACACCACCAAGCAGGGAGTCTCAGACCTGCAGTGCTCTGAGATGAGGGTCCATTTAGAAAAGACACGCATCCAAACAATCTACCTGGTCTGTCATCAGCAACCAATCAAAGGTGATGTCTTTATAAGTGAAGCAGCTCAACCTGTATTCAATACAATGCTGCCACCAACACTCTTCAATGCAAAAGCAACCATCAGTACCACGAAGCAAACGGTACAGGACAGGATTGACTTACTTCAGGGCCAAATTCAGAGTAGGCGTGCTGCTCTAGGATCAGTTCTGCCTTTTAGATCATAGATCAGCAGGACTCCTTCTCTGAGATGCTTCCCCTTCCATGTCTCAGAGAAGGTGATGTCACTTAAGACAAGGTTACCTCACCTTTATCAACATCATGCATTGAAAAACACCAAAGCTGCATATTTTTACAAGACATAGATTACCTACACACTCATACATATCAGGACATAAATCACCCACACAAAGACACATATCAGGAAATAAATCACCAACACAAAGACACATATCAGGACATAAATCACCCACACAAAGACACATATCAGGACATAAATCACCCACACAAAGACACATATCAGGACATAAATCACCCACACAAAGACATATATCAGGACATAAATCACCCACACAAAGACACATATCAGGACATAAATCACCCACACAAAGACACATATCAGGACATAAATCACCAACACAAAGACACATATCAGGACATAAATCACCCACACAAAGACACATATCAGGACATAAATCACCCACACAAAGACACATATCAGGACATAAATCACCCACACAAAGACATATATCAGGACATAAATCACCCACACAAAGACACATATCAGGACATAAATCACCCACACAAAGACACATATCAGGACATAAATCACCCACACAAAGACACATATCAGGACATAAATCACCCACACAAAGACACATATCAGGACATAAATCACCCACACAAAGACACATAACAGGACATAAATCAACCACACAAAGACACATATCAGGACATAAATCACCCACACATAGACACATATCAGGACATAAATCACCCACACACACACACACATATAAAAACACTGCATGTGTTTTAAAAGAGAGGCAGAGATCCAACAGTCTGAGTGGATTGACAGGCTAATGCTAGTATGATAATATGCTAAATGCTGTGATTTATCTGTAGGGAACAATATGGCACCTTAAGCAGTGATTGATGGCTACACGGCTGACAGACGACCTAATGATTCAAACAAGCTTCTCAATTAAACGTCAATTAGGATTGCAAATTCAATCACCCCCCCCCCCCCCCCCCCCCCCTCTCTCTCTCTCTCTCTCTGACAACTCTCTCTCTCTCTGTCTCTTTCTCCCTCTCTCTCTCAGTCTCTCTCTCCGTCCCTCTCTCTGTCTCTCTCTCCATTTCTCTCTCTCTTCCTCTCGCTCTGTCTATTTCTCTCTCTGTCTTCACAGCACAGAGCCTTTCCATTTCTCTTTCTGTTCAACACAGGACACTTTCCCACCTTTATAAAGATGAAAATTAAATACATTATGTCCTAACTAAAAAGTGAAGGTATTTTATAATAATTACAAAAAAAACACCACATGCTTTGATTCAGATGGTGGTGAATATATTTGCATAAAGGCATGAGATTAACACAGCATTCATTTATCACACACATCCTGAACACGTCAAGATCCTGCTGACAAGATGAGAGAACATGCCCAGGGTACTGCTCTCATTCACAGACGCACACGCACACAAACACACGCATAAACACGCATGCACGCACAAACACACACACACACACACACACACACACACACACTGTACAGACACAAACACACTCTCTCACACACACATAGGCACACATAGGCACACACACATACACACACAAATGTATGCACAAACATAATGCACACCGTACACTCATAAATGCTTACACATATGCATGGGCGCACTGACTGACACATGTGGACTATGATAATGTGCTGTACATCTCCAGCCATAAACCATCATCTGCTCATATCTCGCCTGACACACACATACACACACACACACACATACACACACACACACACACACACACACACACACACACACACACACACACACACACACACATAAAACTCCACTGCATTAATGAACAAGCTCCAACTTAAAGCCACAACTCTTCTCCAACATCTTCTCGCTTTCCCTTAAAAAATGAAGCGCCTATCCGCCAAGACAGACATTAATAATCAATAGGCCAAAATATACAGATAATGACAACAGTGATCTTGAGCCAAGCATTAAACCATGGTATGAGAATTCTTCATCACATTCAACACCAGTAAACACAGTATAAACCCAGCTCTTAAGAACTCATCAGAGGGATAATATGTCCCTGTGACTGGAGCTAGGGTTTAGTCTAGTGTTGGAAGAGAAAGAGAATTCATGACTCAGACATTACCAGTGACAAAGTAAATTCATATTTTAAATGCTCAACATACTGATAATCTCCTCTTCTACCCCTCACTCCCCTTCTCCTCTCCTTTACCTCGTATCCAAACAGAGGCTTTGCAGAAGACAGAAAGAGAGAGAGAAAGAAAGAGAGAGAGAGCGATAAGCAGGAACGTTAAGAGAAAGAGAGGAAGAGGAAAGAGAGTGGAGGAGAGGAGAGAGAGCGCTATTGTTAAATGTAAGCTGGACCTTTAAAATTTGTTTTAAACTGGAAACATTTTTTCCCCCTCACTCATGCCCACATGCCCAAGGGGCTGTTTTTTTTGTTTTGTATTTGTGTGTGGGGTTTGGGTTGTGTTTGTGTTTGTGTGTGCCCTGAGCCCCCCTGAACTCGACATTATCAAAACCGGGTTTTACAACCCAAAGGGGAAAAGCACCAAAGGCGCGGGCCAACAAACACCCCAAAACACCCCCAACAAACCCCCAAACACCAACCAAAAACCCGGGGTTTTTCCCAAAGGCCGGCCGGGGGAAACGGCCGGTTTTTTTTTGGGTAAAAAGGTTCCAGGGTTGGGACCTTTCCCACCTGGAGTTTAATTTTTTGTTTTTTTTTTTTTTTAAAAAAAATTTTCTCCCTCTTCCCTAAAACCCCCCCCCCCCCCCTTCTTCTCTATTCTCTCTTATACCCTTTCTTTCTCTCCCCTCGCTCCCCTTTCTCTCTCTCTCTCCCCCCACTCCCCTCTATCCCCTCTCTATCTTCTCGGTTTCTTACAGTCTCTTTCTCCCTCACTCTCTGCAACTTTTTCAGTTACATCAGCCTCAAAGGTGTGTGTGTGTCAGCAGCAGTAGAGCAGCCAGGCTGATAGGAGAGTGGTGTTGGTGGCAGCAGTGGTCTCCTAGTATAGAAGCATTATTCAGAGGTAACACTGATGGATGTCCTGCTGAACACACTGTGATGGCCCTGCCTGCTGCAGTCAGCTCTGCTCCCCATCTATGACGAGAGCAACGTACACACACACATGCACACACGCAAATAAGAGCGCACACACACATGCACGCATGCACGTGTACACACAGACACACACACACTCACTGCCTGCTACAAAAAGAAGTGGTCTGCCATCTGTGACTAAACCAACACAACCACAACTCTAGTGAGAAAGAGTTTAAACCAGAGCCCTAGGTCATCCATTGAGGGTATTTGTCTTGAGATGACATACAGTATGGGCTGGCAGATGTGATCTTTGGACTAATCGAGGAGAAGGAGTAGGCCGAAACGGAGCCTGGGTCTCAATTAGAGAGCCCTAGCAGATGACAGGGTGACTGTGACTGCGAAAGAACACTGATGATCCTCTTCTCATAACTTGCTGGTTCAAGGATTTATTATTATCCTACAAACAGGGGCTCACAGGCAGGCAGACAATGGGGAACTGTGGCAGTGCTGCTGTCCACACA